CTGTCACATCATGCAATGCCTCATGTATGACATTGCGATCGTCAGGTTTCTTTTTCATGAAATCCACCAGTTGGTCGAGTAAAACATACTCCACCTCGTTTGCAATAGTTACTGGAAGTTTTTGGAAGTCTTGCAGGGGAGCTTGCGGTATGTCCTTCAAACGCRAGAGTACTAAAATTTATGTTGCACCGCTCTTCATCTCGTCCTTAGAACCTTCAACAAGCATTCCCCATTTCTTCGCCTGTGTCATCAACATCTGCTTGAAATCGGGTGACATGTATGTTCCACCCTTCTGCTGCTTTGTCATATCCACGTCGCCTTCATCGGACATCCCTTCTGTGCACATCCAACCAACCACTTTTCTCAAACTGTATGCACTGCTATCAGCAGTGTTGTCTACACGCAAATCATGCGCCTCAGTGAACCGTGCCAATAGCATCCGTGCTCTGAGCGACTCCTCTCCGTTCGCAGCGATGCTTGCACGAATGTTCACTCTAACATCGAAGTAACTCGGCACTCTCTCCGTGAGTAGTTGGAGCTCCCCGTCGTCATCGTAGTGGATGCCCTCCTCCGCGTATTGCATCACCTCTTTAAGAGTTGTTCTCGCCTGCGCCGCTGACATCGACATGATGGTTGTGCTTTTGTCTATGTGTCTGTAAGTTGAACGACAAAACGATGATTTCAAGCTCCGTGAGGGTTTGTTTAATGTTGTATGTGTGTCCCTCTGCTCGAAGTATGCGGTCGTTCAACGATGTCAGTCAGTACACGGACATCATACGAGGGTTGGCTAGTGGGTGTCATTTTTTATTCGAATCATTGACATCGAAATGAATCCGGCACGCAGGAGTCAACTCCTCCGACACCCCCATTTATCACCTTCATGTGAAGCATTGTACATATCACAGGGCCAAGAACCATTCATTCATAAAGCCATGGAGGGCAGAGTACAACTTACGAAGACGGAATAGTCCTCCGCCAACATCGTGTGTGTGTGTGTGTGTGTGTGTGTGTGTGTGTGTGTGTGTGTGTGTGTGTGTGTGTGTCTCTACGTGTGTATGTGTCTGTGTGTGACTGTGTGCATATGTGTGTGTGTATGTGTGCATATGTGTGTGTGTATGTCTGTGTATGTCCGTGTGCCTGTGTGTCTGTGTCTGTGTCCGTGTATGTGTGTGTCTGTGTCTGTGTCTGTGTCTGTGTCAGTGTGTGTATGGGTGTATGTAAGTGTGTCTGTGTATGTCCGTGTGCCTGTGTATGTCCGTGTGTATCTCCGTGTGTCATACCAACGCCATGGAATGTCTCAAACACGGGAAGTTTCACAGTCACTTCTCGTCACCACCGCAGACGTCATCAGTGTGTTTTAGTTGGGAGTGTGCACGCTGTAGTGACAAGAAAAGAAACAGAGGGAGAGCAGGACATGGGATATAGGAGCAAGAGAGTGAGGGCGGGCTTGAGTTTCAAGGTACGCAGGAAACGATACCTTCCTCGACGAAAGCAACAGCGTACACTGTACACTGAGTGCTTGGGAAGATGCAGATTTTGGTTCGACAATTCTGCTTCGGTGGTTCAACCGTGCGGCGCATAAGACAACACAAACAGATAGAGAATTAGTGAACAGTGTGTCACACACACTCACACAAACTCTAAGACACACACAGACTCTCGGTCATTGATGTGTTATGAGCATCATTATAACCAATATCCAATAAGACAGCCAAGAGTTCCTGGATTCAACGCTCAACAAAGTATCACGTCCCCTTCGTTACCAGAAGTTATCTGCCCGGCGCTATCTGCGCTCATCATCAACAACATGAATTGCGAAGTCCACGTAAGAACAAGTCCTCTCCACATATTCTCTTTGCTGTGTATCTCACAATGGCAGAAGTCTTCACACCATGAAAACGTCAGTGTGTTCACAGCATGCATCGTCAACAACCAGAATGAGCACAAGTCTTCACTGTTATGAACTTGGTTGCCTGACGAATTTTATCGCCACTCACACACA